TTCCATGTAGTAAACATCCTTAACTTTCTCTCTCCATTGTGCTACTGTGGGGGGGCTGCTGCCTCAGCCACGAGATTGTTATCATCTTCTTAGCAATTAGAAGAAGGACTCCCAGCAATACTCTCTGATTATTGTTTTCTAGACCTTCTGGTAATATTCCTAACACAAAACAAGATGGTTCTAAGGGAAGATCTACATTTAAACATTTTTTAATTTCATTTCGTATGTTTGGCCAGTATCTTAACAGTTTCGGACAATCCCAGAATATATGTGTGTGGTCTCCCACCAGGCCACAGCCCCTCCAGCACCGATCTGAGGTATCCACAAATCTTGATGTGACCTGAAAAACTTCATCTTAGTTTTCTATTCAATTCCTTCCAGATTATATTTGGATACATTTGGATATATTTGGATATACAGGCTATTTGTTGCTTGCTCTAGATATTGACACCGGGAGTCTCAATTTCTTCTTCACATTGGACCATATTCTTAAAGTGGTTTTCACCCACTGATTATCAATTTTATTTATTTTCCAAGTGTCTTGACTCATAAATGGAATTGTGTCTAGGGGCAAGTTTAGGCAGTCATTCTGCTCCATCCCAACCCGTATAGTATCGTTGTCTTGAGATATCCATGCAACCAATGATCTCAGCTGAGCTGCCCAATAATATTTTTTCAGGTTAGGTAAATCAAGGCCTCTGTTGTCTTTTGTGCATAACAATCTTTTCAGTCTGAATTTGGGTCTTCTGTTTTGCCATATAAATTTAGATAGCCAATTATTGATTATTTTGAATGTGGAGGTGGGGACCTCTATGGGTAGAGATTGGAACACAAAGAGCAGCCTTGGTAATATGTTCATTTGTATCGTTTCCACTCGTCCTACTAGGGATAAGGGGAGAACTTCCCATCTTGTACGGTCATTTTTTATTTCGCCCATCAGTTTGCCAAAGTTGGCCAGTCAGGTGTTATGATGATACCCAAGTATCTAAACCCTTGATTAGACTAGTGGAATTTAATGCTGCCTGTTCATTGTGCAGGCCAGTGTCCCACCATCATCATTGCCTCTGACTTTGATTGATTAATTTTATAGCCTGAGAGCTCTCCATATTCCTTTAAATTTCTCATTAATGCTGGGACAGAAGAAACTGGATCACTAATATATGTCAATATGTCATCTGCATAGAGAGAAATCTTGTGTTCTATTTGACCTTGATCTTTTATGTCTTTAATACTATCATTCTGTCTGATTAATGCAGCTAGAGGTTCTATATTTATAGCAAAAAACAAAGGGCTTGGACGGGCAGGTCACCCCTCGTCGACAACCCCCCCCTGCTCAAGAATAAAAAAATTCTGAACAGCATCCATTCGAGGCTGGCTGACAACGCTTGATTTCTCCTCCTTGGGGTCTTTGTATCGATCACTGACTCTGTATCCAGTTCTAAAAGGTTGTTGGGCGGGGCTGAAAACCCATAACAGCCAGCGGTGGTTCGTATAAAAAGCTGCGTGCTCAAAAGCTGTTCTGAGCATTAAAACTAATAAGCATAGCAGTTTTCGCTATTTTTTCTGTGGCCACAGTTCGTTAATTGATGTTTAAGTGTTTCTTTCTTGATGGCTTATTAGCTCCTTTGCTGGGCCAGGGATGAAGCCTGTATGGTCTGGATTAATCAATTTTGTTATAATTTTTTGCATTCTTTTGCCAGGATATAGGTTAGCAGCTTTTGGTCGTTACATAGAACACTAATGGGTCCGTACCCTCCTTATGGATCACTGATCATCAGATCATCTCTGATCTAAAGTTTCCCTCCTCCTCGCTCTCAGATACGACCCGGCCGAAGCGGGACTACGAGGTGGACGGCAGAGATTATCACTTCGTGGTGTCCAGAGAGCAGATGGAGAAGGACATCCAGGACCACCGGTTCATCGAGGCGGGACAGTACAACAACCACCTGTACGGAACCAGCGTCCAGTCGGTCCGAGAGGTTGCAGAGAAGGTTAGTGCTGACTCTGTGTGCGTTGTAGACGAAGAAATGGGACATTTACTCATTGAACTGGAGGTTTTAAGTTGGTCCTGGTTTCCTCTGGTCCAACCCAGGTCAGGGTCCTGCTGTGTAAACAAGCATTTAGGTCCTGGTCCGGTTTCTGAGGCTTCTTAGTCCCATTTCAGCTCTGACTCACTGATTGTCAATAACAGGTTGTTGATTTCCCTCGTTCTTCTTCTGTGGTTCTCAGGGTAAACACTGTATCCTGGACGTGTCGGGGAACGCCATCAAGAGACTCCAGCTGGCTCAGCTTCACCCCATCGCCATCTTCATCAAACCCAAATCTGTGGAGAACATCATGTGAGTCAACAAACAAACTAACAAACATTGTGACTGGCGGTGTACACAGTGGTTGTGGTCTGGTTGTGATCTGGTCTCTGGTCCTGCAGGGAGATGAACAAGCGTCTGACGGAGGAGCAGGGCAGGAAAACCTTCGACAGAGCCACCAAGCTGGAGCAGGAGTTCACCGAGCATTTCACAGGTGAGACGGCGCCGCCCGCCGACCCGAAGGAAGTCCTCCAACTCACATTTGTGTTTCCTCTTCACGCTGGAGAACGTAACGTATAGAGACGTTACAGCTCTGTCAGACCCAGTGGTTCATATTTAAAGGAGCCGTCTGTCTTACTGTCAACAAACAGGCTCTTCAATGTATGAAAGGGTTTTAATATAAAGGCATTAAAATATGTAATCTATATATCAGTACTGATTATTCTGTGAAACAAACATGGAAACCTTCCTGACGTTTGGAGGTTTTAAAGTTGAGTTTATGAACTTCAGTGTATCCCGACTGGCTGTAGTGTTTGTTGCTCCTCTGACCTCGCTGTGTTTGCTCCTCGCAGCCATCGTTCAGGGCGACACTCTGGAGGAGATCTACGATCAGGTGAAGCAGATCATCGAGGAGCAGTCGGGTCCGTTCATCTGGGTTCAGTCCAAGGAGAAGTTATGAGGATCAAAACTCTGTCTGCTCCATCGCTCCTCTCTTTAGATTCAGTTTGTTTTATTTTGAAAAGAAAAGTCGACCTGCAGACGGCAGCCTCACCCTTCCTCACCCCTCCTCACCCCCAACCCCCCCGCCACCCCCTACGACCCGACACTGACGGTGTTTTATTTTGTATTTCTGCCTGAATAAGACTCCATTATTGGGTTTCCTGACCAGCACAGTAAAGCACACAGGAAGTATGACGACATCACACTGAACGCGGTACAGCTCCTTAATGTTTAAGGGAGGAGAACTAAAGAGGAAGAGGAGGAGGAGGAGGAGGAGACGTGTCCACGAAAGTGGCGAGAAGAAACGTACGAAGCAGATTTTATCTCTTTTGTTTGTTTTTTTTGTGGGTTTTTTTCCCTTTTGTTTGTCTCGTAAGGTAAACGTCGGTGGACGGACGGAGTTTCAGTCTCAGGCAGCGTCTGTCGGTCCGGAGGAAGGCGGAGACACAAAAAGCAAAACTTTGCACGTTTGAGCTTTAACAGCATGTCATTTAATACCCCGTTTATTTCCCATCAGCCCCTTCACCTGAGCGTCTGACGTCACAGCTTCTTCTTCTGTTCTGCGCTCATTTCTTTTTCTTTTCACTCGATTCAGTTTCTTGTTTGTTTGTTTGTTTGCTCCTCGCCGCTGCAGACGTCTGTCGGGACGCCGCTGCAGGGTTCCCGCTCTGCCACCGGGGGGCGCCGCTGCAGGGTTCCCGCTCTGCCACCGGGGGCGCCGCGGAGCTTCTGCTGCGTGTTTCTAACAGCAAACGTCTCAAAAGATTAAATCTGATTAATTTGACTTGTTTTCTTCTTCAAACTGACGAATAATAATCGTTTGTTGCTCAATGTTTTCATTTAGCTTTACGAGGTCAAAGGTCACAGCATTGATTATTCTACTGCTAATTATATCTTTATCTTCTTGAGTCTCATTAAAGGAGCTAAAGTTCATTTTCTTTTATTCAAAATTCACAATTAAAAGAAGATGATTTTATATTTATGAATAAACTTGTAATTAAGTGAAAATGTTCTTATAATTACAAGGACATTTAATTATGAGATTATTTATCAGTAACAAGAAAACTGCACTATAATCAATATTCTCTTAATTATCTCATAATTAAGAGAAAACATCGACGTTTGATCTAATCAGGAGAAACTAACTGAGAAAACTCATTAAGAGATTTAATTACAAGAAAATTCTCTCATGATTCTTTTTTGTCATAATTACAAGAAAACATAATTAAGAGAAAATGACGAATTAGATAATTTAATTAAATAACAGTTATGAATAAAATAATGAATAAATATAAACACAATTTCAACTCATTTATAATTAAGAGAAACCTTGATAGTTAAAGTTAAGAACTTTAATTTCTCATAATTTTCTCATAATTTTCATTAAAACAAAATTATTTTAATGATCTTATAATTAAATAAATAACATAACAATAACAAATATAAATGACAGATTACAAGAAAACTCATCTACAATTAAGAAATAAAAGTTCTTTATCTGGTAATAGAAGAGAATAATTGTAATTATGAGGTTGTTTTCTTCTTTATCTCCAGTTTGTTTGTTTGTTTGTTGACCTGATGAGACCTTCCACTGATTTTAAACTTTAAATCACCGTCGCACATTTCATTCTGGGTTTTTATTTTAATCATCGTTGTGTTTGAGCGGCGAGTTCGAACCCCGTCAGACGTCCGTCAGCGTCGTCAGTGGAACCGCGAACAGAGACGATTATTGTACAATGAGATTCTGACAGATATTTAACCCTCGGTAAACTGCCTATTTTGTTATAATAAAGTCTATATTGAACTTTACTTAAGCACTACTACTACGGGAGTTATTTTCTTCGCATTGTTAATCATATATGAATAGAAAAGTATAAAGATATTTGAATATGAATATATATTTTTTCTTTTTCTTTTGATCACCACCTCCTCTGTCTTTTAATTTTCTTTTTTAAGCATAATAAAAACTTAACAAGAAAACAGGAAGTTCTCCTCTTCTTCTTTTTCTGCTGCTGACCTCCGACCAGGATCTACAGCGACAATCAATCACACAGTCAGGTTGTTTGAATGAGCTGATTAAATGATCACTGATTGGGGATATATTGATATATTGATCACTGGTTTCCCACCAGTTCATTATTTTTTACGTCTTATTTCTTTTTATTTCATGATTTTCACTTAAAATGAACCTTTTTTATTTTCAACACATATCATTTTTTATTCTAAACAGAAATTACTAATTATTATTATTATTATTAGTTTGATTATAGATTATTGATTGAATCTACTCCATATAGAACATGGCTCTAGAGTTTATACTGTTTAATGATGGAAATGTTATTGATTAACTGATTAATCGTCGCAGCTCTTTGGAAGTTCCAGATACATTTTATAAAACAATATTTATTGAGACGTTAAAATATAAATATTTGGATGTGAATGAAACATTGAGTGCAACATTACAACTAATGTTTGGAAATCAATCAATAAATCAATAATACCGTTCCTTTATTCACCGTCTGTGGGTCAGATTATATTTAATAGAACTGATCGATTATGATCAATCTTTATTGATCCATTAATGAAGCAGATTATAAAGTCACTAAAACGAGCTCCACATTCAACATCTGATCAATAATAATCCATCAATAACCAATAATCAAATTTTATCTAGTATTATAGATTACTTTTACTTTCTACACTGAGGTATTATTACTTTTACTGAAGTACTCAAATATTTCTACAACAGGAAGTACTTTATTACTTTATAAAGTATTTCTACCTTTAGTTACTTTAGTGGTATTAGTACTTTAATGAAGTTTTTCTACCTTTACTTTAGTTACTTTAGTGGTATTAGTACTTTTAATAAAGTATTTCTACCTTTA